TCTTTGAATCTACAGGGCCTAGCAAAAAGTGTTGTATGCACAGTTTATAGAAAATTTTATTACCTTTTAAAAGCTTCAAACCGTTTTGGAATTGCTCAATTCGTTCTTGAGATATATATGATAAAGTGGACCCAATTTTTTTTTTTTTTGCAAAAACGGTAAATTGCAAATATCTCAAAATTAAATATTAATATAAATATTAATTAAAAATAACCTTGATTTTCGGAATCAGGGGGTGATTTTACATAAGAATTTCATAACGGCGTTTCTGGTAAAGAGAAAAAGTTGAAATTTGTGGTTATACACCATTTTTTCCAATGACATTTTGACCCACTTTGTGGAAGTAGAATTTGACGAAATTTTGACCAGACATAGAATCAATGATGGAGATTCTAAATATGCAATAAAAAAATAATGGCGTATGAGCACATACGCTATTGTTATATTGAGGGGACGATACATATGTATAATATATTTTTTATGAACAAATATTAAAAATAAGCTTACTTCTCTTATAGGCAATTATCTCCAAAATGTCAAATGTTATTTTTTTCCGCTACTTATGATAAAGAAGTTATGAATTTCGCTCAGCATATTGTGCCGGATCCAACAATTATAAGGTAGGTATAAATATGCAATATATATATATATTTGCGTTGATTTTAAATTTGTTCCAGACTTATGCGTGAGCAGGAATCACTTGAAAATATCAAACAATATTACGTTAGATGTATGAATGAGGAGGATAAATACAATGCTATACAAAATATTTACGCCGGAATAACAATTGGACAAGCTATAATATTTTGCCATGTATGTACGTCATAATTAATTGTATTACGAGTATACAATAAATTTTATTTAGACACGCAAAACCGCAGGATGGCTAGCTGGCAAGATGTCATCCGATGGCCATTCGGTTGCTGTACTCTCTGGAGATTTGACTGTGGAGCAACGACTTGCTGTTTTGGATCGATTCCGAGCTGGTCTTGAAAAAGTGCTCATTACAACAAACGTACTTTCTAGAGGTAAGAAATAAATGCATACATATTCAGCGATCTAATATTTTGCTTAGTAATTGACCAATGATATTCTCCGATTTGTGGTGTGCATCTTAAACATAGAGACATACACAGTATTAAGCTGTCTCCGAAGGGCTAATGGCTTCAATGGTAGTATTATCATTTACATAATGTGGGACTAGGCATTGGACCTGGATCCCCCCAGTGATAGTACGATTTAACATAGTTTGACTTATAGCTCAGTTATGCATACTTGGTACTGTACAGAATGACAATTTTACGTAGAAATCAAATACCAACAGACTTCTACATATGTAATGCTGGCTTTTAGCCCAGTTATGCATACTTAGCTTTGCATGAGAGTTGTCACATAAGAATATGTTAAACAGGTTTTGTGTGTAGGCGGTTACCCAACGCATAGCACTTAACATGTAGAATTCTGTTGGGTTTTGATTTTTACGTAAAAATTGTATAGCAGTGCAAGTATGCATAACTGGGCTATTTGGGTAACCGCTTACACGCAGAGCTCATTTAACAGATTCCTTATGTGACAACTCTCATGTAATGCCAAGTATGCATAGCTTTAGAATTGGTTTATAATAGGGGTATTCATCTAAACGTGTATACTAACGAAACGTATAAATTAAAGAGTTACGTGGGAAGCAAATATCAATCAAATATGTATTATTCTAAACAAGCAAATCCTCGGATCTGATGATATTTTCGGAATTTTTTTTTAAATTTATGTACCTTGTGTAAACGACTTCTCATACAAATTGTGATAGCTTACGAGGCTGTATATGAGGCATTATTTTGTAAGTCGGACTGATTTGGTAAAAAAGGATGTGATGTCTCCGATTCGCTTAAATTTTTGTATGGATCCTATACGTGAAATAAGTTAACATGCATTCGAGGATCTTTTTCTTTCTTTTCTTTGGAGATATGATCTGCCAAGTTAAGATTTTTTCGTGATTCTGACTATTCATGTACTTCTTCAAATCGATATGTCTCCGGTTCTGCTCATCGAAGGGACTTCATCTTAACGTCGTTTTAAAGTAAAAGAAACGAGCTCAATATTTCTACATACATACATACATATAAGATAATCATTATTGTCCTAGAGCTATCTTAGCTATGAACAGTTGAACTTTTTGAAGTTGATTTAATTAGTGAAGGCCAGTAATGGGTCGATTACGGATAGCAACGTAACTGAAGAGAAAATGTGTGTTATCGATAATCGAAATTTGACAGTACGGCAACCAGCAAGTGGCTGTAAACAAGCTGTGCTAGTAAAATGAAATTATTAAAATAAAGAGTTTTAAATAAAAGTCTGCAATAATGCTAAGTTCAGTGTCCTATTCTTCGAAGAGGGAAAGCAGCGCATGAACGCGGCCTCAATCGGGCCGCAACGCAAAACATATTTAATTTACCTATTCCTCACATTTTATTCAGTAAATGAACTCCATCTTAATCTAGAATAATAGTGTATAGTGTATGCATACATATGTACTTATGCAGTCGGTGTGCTTGAATTTAAAAAAAAAAAAACATCACTAAATAACGCACCAAGCAATGAATTCCAATTATTTTAGCTTTTTGATTTTCCAAATACACTAAATTCAGTGCAAAATGCACGACGTTGGCAACAGTGAGCTGAGCACATCCATGCTCAAACAGTGATGCCGGCCCAAGTATTTCATTTCATTTCTTTATTAAGTCTACGGTTACAAACCTTACAGACTAGAGGTACAACATCAACTTAAAAATAAAGCTTACAATCGAAATTACATCATTAGAGATAATTGGATTCAAGCTTTGATCAAAATAAGGATCTAGGAAGAGCGAAATCTAAATCGAGGCTACTAAATATACTATTTACCTCAGTTAGGAGCCTTACCCTTATAATAGGAGCGAATTTTAAGTAATTAGATTTGGCAGTTTTCACATGACACGGGTAACGAAAGCGGAGTGCTCGATGGGGAACGTTAAAACATATCTGCTCAAGCAGATCAGAACAATTAATTACGCCACAGATTATGTCGTAAATGAACATTAGCGAATGTATAATGCGGCGAGAAGCAAGAGATTTCATATTTATTAACATACATCGGGCCCCATAAGACGGAAAAGGCTCACTAAAACCAAGAGGTTGCAGAGCGAAGCGGACAAAACTACGTTGGACTCTTTCAATTCTTTGGGAGTGAGTGGAATAAATTGGATTCCAACGCGCACAGACGCGTACTCCAATTTTGATCTAACTAGAGAATTATAAATGGATTCCCTTGTTTAAGGATATCTAAAGTCTCTCGCATAGCGACGCAGAAAAGACAAGTTAGAATAGGCCTTAGGAATGATAAAACTTATGTGGTTGACAAAGGAAAATCCTGAATCAAAAACCACGCCAAGATCCACAAATTCATTTACAACAGATGAGAAAACGTTAGAAAGGGTATAGTTGAGGTAATAGGATTTAGAATTTTAACAAAAGTCATGTGAAAACATTTATTAATATTGAGCGATAATTTATTTGTGAGACTCCAGTCAGTTAGATTATTTAAGTCAAAGCAAAAGTGAAATACCCGACAAGTAGGTAACACTTCTGAAAATTTTAAAANGAAAATCCTGAATCAAAAACCACGCCAAGATCCACAAATTCATTTACAACAGATGAGAAAACGTTAGAAAGGGTATAAGTTGAGGTAATAGGATTTAGAATTTTAACAAAAGTCATGTGGAAACATTTATTAATATTGAGCGATAATTTATTTGTGAGACTCCAGTCAGTTAGATTATTTAAGTCACTTTGCAAAAGTGAAATACCCGACAAGTAGGTAACACTTCTGAAAATTTTAAAATCGTCTGCATAGAGTAGAAACCTCGAATGGTTAAAGCAGCTCCCAATATCATTTATAAAGAAAACAAACAATAGCGGTCCTACGATACTGCCCTGAGGGACACCGGAGGTGGCTACGAAAGGATGTGATTTAATATTATCAATTTCTATATATGTGATTCTGTTCGAGAGATATAACCTTAACCAGGAAAGAAAAGTTGAATGGAAACCAATTGAGTAAATCCACTATGTATATTTTTATTTTAAAGGAAAAGTTCTAATTGGTGAAGGTATTGATTTTTGGTTCTTACATAGAACCAGTGTTGCCGTTTTAGCCCTTTGGTGGCTAGATTTAGCTACCACATACTTTTTCTGGCCACATAAATTTAAAATTGTCCCTATCCCTTTTTTTTTTTTAGCCCTTTGGAGAATTTATTCATACTTGGCATGAAAAAATTGTATATGCTTTGATCTCATTTGTTTTTCAATTATGTAAGAGATGTATTTTTAAACTAAGAAAGACTGATATACAGATGTATATACATATATGTATTGTATGTTCCTTACGTTTTTATACATACATACTGTAAAAGTGTTAGGGCTGTTAACTTATCTATTAACGATTTAACTATAGTTTAAAATAGATAAGTTTACGGCCCTTAGGGCCAGTTTTTCAGTGCCAGTTTAAACTCAGATTAAGGAAACTGAGTTAATTTGCGCTCGCTAATTGAACAGCTGGCTGACATTTGATTGGCTGATCTGAGTTTAAACTAGCCAGATCGGATGTTTAAACTTAGTGTAAACCACGGCCGTGCACTGAAAAACTGGCCCTTAATATGGTTAATTTGTTAAATGGCCTATCAAGGCGATTGACCGTGTATGTTCTTGTGGTGTGATTGTACCAGCTGCTAGTGCGACTTAAAAAACTATTTGAAAATTTGATGATTGTCGTGAGTGGTGAAATTAGCTCAATTTGCTAAGTAAAAAATATTTTGGCGGAAATTTATTGCACTATATGAGTCAAGGCCGTGTTTGTGGAATATTAAGTTCACGATATTGCAGTTTTGAATTAAAATAAAAAACAATGTTTAACAAAATGGTAGAAAAATTATGAATTTTCGGCTCTTAATTATTTCGATCTTTTCTCGCCCTCAGCTGTAACGAAATAAATATTGTACCAGCATGCTGGTAAGTTATATGCTTGGAGCCTGATGGTACAATCACTTGATAGAGCCAGCATGCTGGTTAGGCTGGGTCGATTTTGTATGGGGAAAATAAAAGGCATTTGACCTTATTGTAATAGTAATATTATGATGTCTTAGGTCTAAGCCAATTGTTATTGGCCACGAAAGATTAATTTAAAACTTATCTTTAGCCCGCGCAATTGAATCAAAGTGTATGAATTTTTAAAATTTAACTTTGGCTTGTAATATCTATGGTATGCGTTAATTGTTATAAATAGGACGATATATCAAATTAAGGGTTATTAAATTTAGTATCTCACGTTCAGTTATAATTTTTCAATAAGTCTACACGTTTTTAAGGTATTAAGATAAAACTCACAAAAACTATAATTTTCCTTTATGAATTTTCAATTCTTCATTGCTTCAGCAGCCAAGTGAAAAATTCAAAAAAGTGAGACGAGATATATTTCAAACGTTCTAATGTTTTCGGATGTTTATATAATATTAAGTGGGCCATGGGCCGATTTGGTCAGTTTTCAAGATTGTGGTGAATGAAGTCAAACATGTATTGTCAAAGATTACGAATCGTTTGATAAGTTAATAGTAGTTTCAAG